AATTCAACTAGATTGATTGTTAACGAAATAACGAAGGTAATGAATCCTTCGCTTCGACGGTATTGTTATAAAATCCTCTGCTTTGTTGGGTCTTCAAGAAGTCTTGTGAAAACTAAATAATGACACATTCTCAAAGATTTCAGGAGTGCAGTCTAGTAGCTTAATGATTTATGCCATTAAAGGGTATGTGTGTGTTGTGCGAGTATCGGACATCATACTAGTACAAATTGTAACTAAGGGTGAAATTTTTTTACTTAAAAAATTTGGCGACAACCTTCTTTTTATTTTTAGGTTGTTGGCTTTGTTGTGCACAATGGTTGGATTGGTTTGATTCTATGTGCTGTATCTCCTGAGCCGATTTCTCGTGAACTTCACTTCAATGAGCATATTCCAGTTCAACCAAATTATGAGTGTTCCGTGTTTTAACCCAGACATTAAAACTCGTAACTACAAAACCGACAAATATCAAATCAAGTTTCTCTTCCAGCTCAGATTCTGTCATAATACCTTTTTTTTTTACATTTGACACAACCTGTATTTAAAAAGTACATTATTGACATATTATGAAAATATTGACAAATTAGTATAACTTTTTTCTACTTACCAAAGTTTCTCTCCACCATTTTTCGGATGCATCTATTATTTTTTTTATGGGATCTCAACACGTTTCAGTTGCTCGCTTTCATTCCTTCTATAGCTTCTAATTCTTTTTGAGTCGATTCCATTTGTTTTTAAAATGAGTTTTATCATATACTCTTTCTATTTTGTCATGAAATTTTTTTGTTATATTTCATGAGTCTTCCTTATTGAAATGTGTTGTGGGTTTGTTACTTAATTTGATTTTCTTTAAATATAAATCACAAAAAATATTCCTGACTTCCCTCTCCCAATCAACAGATACAACATCATCCTTTTGTTTTCTCATCTTGTGAGCCTACAATAAATTGAAGTGATGTTTCAAAATGCATGATGGTAAAAAGTGAAGATAAAATTTTGGAAAAATTTTTAAATTATGTTTATAAGTGAGAATCAATTAAGAAAAGCGTTGAAAAAATTAAAAGGGACAAGCAAGCAAAGTAGAGCCCAGTAAGTTCATTTTGTCAAAGATTTTTCCATCCATGATCACCACCTGCATTCAATTGTTAGCTAGTATATTACGAATTTGAGGTCACTATCTGACTAAGAGTATGTCGTATAGGTTTAGATAGATGGGATATAAGACAACGCTTAGGAGTAAGATCAGATTGTATCTGAAGTCGAGTGTGTCATGTTGGTTCAGATATACATAATAGAAGAAGATATGCTTAGGAGTAAGATCAAGTAGTATTTGAGGTTTACTGTCTCATGTAAATTCAAATGCACAAAATAGAGATAATATGCTTATGAGTAAAATCAATCAGGTAGTATTTGAGGTTGAGTGTATCGTGTGATTCAGATATACAAAATAGAAGACAATATGCTTAATAGTATGATCAAGAAGTATTTGAGGTTGAGTGTGTCGCATTGGTTCAGATGTATAAAATGGAAGACAATATGCAATGAACCAGTAATAAGAAATCGCCAGTAATAATTTAGATTTTAGCAACACCAATGGAATCCAATTACAATAAAGGACTTAAAATGGCTAGATGATTCACGCCTGGTAATAGGTTGAGCTTTTTGTATTTATTTTTCTACATCATAGCTCTACCAAATTTATACCTTTGAAGATTTCCAAAACAATGTAATCAACACCCACATTTTAAATAGTATATGAAGTAGTACAACATATTATCCTGAATGCACAACAATTAAACAATAATTCAGGATCTGCATTCCAATATGTATAGATGCAATGTTTGATTTCATTTCACCACTCATAGGACATTAATTTATGAAAAACAACATGGGAATTAGGTTATTGACAAGCACATAAACACATATGGACATGATGACAAAGATTCAACATGACACAAACATAGGACAATTCAATTTTGGGGGCATTTACATTCATTCCACCCAATTCTTATATATTTACATATATGATATTTATACTTTACTTTTTTACATTAATAACATCCAAATACATCATATAACATAAAAAATACCACGATTTTAACTTGAATAAGTGAAATACACTTTTTCATGCATACGTAACACGCCATGTATGTAAAAATTGAGGTTTATGTGTTAGATATGTAAATGCATAAGAATTGCGTGGTATGTAGAAATCTTGCATAAGAATTGCGTGGTTATGTAGAAATCTTCAGAATAAAGAAATACCACCCATCCAACTAAAGACTACAACTTTAACTTCATTTATCTCTAACAAAAGTTTAACCCTAAGTTGAAAAAAGCTGATCCGGAAGAAACCCTGCTCCTCCATGCTATCGGACATAAATTTTTTCACTCTGCATATCAAATTAATCCATTAAAAAAATGAAGCAATGGGACTAAAGTCATCCTTTCCATGATGAACAATGTAAGGAAAGGAAACTTCTAAGTAACAATCTTACAACAGAATTGCAATATCTTCAAATTAATCCTATCCAAAATCATAATTGACGCACCCTAAATAATAATTGATGTCTCAATGAAGGGCAACATTTCAAAAGTGGAACAAAGCCTCGATCCATAATATCCAGAGCTATAGCATGAAATACACTCAATACAACCAAGAAAAAAAAATTCATGCACAAAGCTTCAGCCGACAGTGGGGAAAAAATGCCCAAACCCTTGAGAGCTTCTACATATTACTCACATAGATCGATTGACAAAACTCATAGATCAGCCAACTAACAAATGGTGCTAGCTTTACAGAGATACATAGAAAAGATTATCTAAAAATTTTCAAATCAATCTTTACGTAAGGAAAATAAAGCTAAAATCTACATGAAGGAAGAGATGAATCGAAGACATAAAGAATGATGGGAAAGAGAATGCATGCACAGAGCTTCGGTTGACGACAGAGAAGAAAAGCCTCAAGGCATTTGTTTTGTGGATGTGTGGATATATCGAGGTTTAGATGGCTAATTTCACGAATTTACTGGGAGCAACGTCATCTTTTTTCAACTACTCTACAGAACTCATAGCGAACCACAACCCTCCATTCTCTAAACATTGTTCCTTCGATGCAATTCTCTGAAACACCGTGAAAAAGTTGCTTTCCAAATGCCACCCTCGGTGCTTTCCAAAACAGAAAACACCTAAAAAGCTGCCCCAAAGCGGGCCTTAATAAGTCACTTTTTTGAAGAGTTGTTCATGACAAAATTTTAGCATCCTGCCATCATCTTTCCTGTATAGAGGTCATTTTTTAGAGTACTTGGTTTGTCTACCATACCAAGAAAGACACTCGTATTGTAAAACACAACAGTTGTAATTTTCTAGTGCCACCATGTCAAGAATGGCGCATATAAGTTACCTTCATGAAAATTTTACAATAGATAATTTTTTTCTGTTGTGCTAAGAAAATTGCGCATGGGTTTTACCAACTCATTGTAAGACTCCCCTACGAGTTCTTCTACCACACATTCCTTGATTTTGCTTATGGCATTAAACCTTACAATCTTGATTTTAGGATTTTTAGGGTTGCAAACCTCTTTTAACCTTCATGCAAGGGATAGGTGATGATGAGATTGTGGCAAATTGACAAAGTTTTGGTGTGACCAAGAGATAATATATGTATATTTTTTTGTGTTTGTTGTTTTTAGAGAGAGAGAGGTGGAGAGGGTAGAGGTGGCTATCGAGGTTATTGTTAGAACTCTTGAGAGTTGATTAGGGAGAGAAGGGAAAAGAGGAGAGGCCTAAAATTTGAGTTGCGTGAGAGTGAGGGGTTAGTTGTTGTGTGGTGAAATTGCGTAAATTTGTTAGCGTGGACAATGACATGAGAGTTAGAGCAATCATGCGAAAAGGTGAGCCGTGTTGTTGGGGCTTGATCCGGGACAATGACGTTGTAGAGATAGTTGACAAATAGGGAGTGGAGGTTGCTATGGGTTTTTGTGTGTGGCTATCGTGAGGAGGATTTGACAAGGGAGCAGGGACTTGAGATCGGAGATGGGGAGATGGTGCTTTGTGAGGGGGTTTTTGGAGAGCTAGTAGTAGGTGGGGTGGGGATTTTTTTTCTTTTTGTAGGATTTTGTCTTAGAAATAGGAGGGGATGGTGAGGATGAGTGGGAAGCTTGGGCCTTTTGTGCAGCAATTTGGATGGGATGCATGGTCTCTATGAGGGGATTTGGCTTCGGGTGCTTTGGGACTGGGGGAGGAAAGAGTTGTGGCGAGATTGTTCGACATGTGGATAAGGGAATATTCCTGAGAGAGTGAGGGAGGGGAGTCAAAGGGGAGACCGCAAATTTGGGAGGGGATGCTCATGTGAGTGTTCTACATGAGGAGGGGAGGGATCAAAAGGGTAGGAGAAGGAGATGGGCATACCTGGGTGGTGGGAAAAAGCCAAAGTGGTTTATAGAAATTCTAAATTGATTTGATTTTTAAATAATAGTAGTAATATTATTCAATTTGTAATAAATTTATGTTAAGAGTTATTTCTTGTGCATCATCATTCCTCCCCATGTATCTTGATTTACATTTTGTCAGCCTTATAATGCATGCAAATTTATGTTTTAATCTCTTAAGACAGATAGGTCAATATAAGTGTTTTTGGTTTCTAGTAGAAATTTAGAATTTGATGATCATTAATTTATCATTCGTGTGGGTTTATTATTTGTGCAAATTTTACTTATTTTCTTGATTTCATTCAGGCTGAGTGACTGATTATTTTCATTAGTGGTTTGTGAACAATGAATTTTGACTTCATATAGTTGATGTTAATTTATCACATCATTCAATTGTATGTTAGGAAATCCTACATCCTATTATGTTTTGTTCGGTGTGACATCCTTGAGTAGTTTAAACTAAAATCAAAAGACCGGAGCTGCACTAATGCATTATTTCCTCTATTTATTTAAGTTGGATTTCATAGAACATTTGTATTTCGTTATATATCAAATTTCTTTATTTAATTGCAGGTGATAGCGAAGCGTTTGCTGGAATCAAAACAAAGCATCCCTCATTTTTATTTATCTTCAGGTTTCTCATGATCATTTGCTTTGATGAATTTCTTCTTGCTTGTGATTAACTTTTGATTTTTTTTTGCTCAATATTTATGTCTTTTAAACAGACGTAATACTGGACCCTTTACTTTCTTTCAGGACCGAACTTAAAGGCACGTAGAAGTTTGGCAATGTCCTAATTTACTGATTTATAATTTCTAATTATTGAAAAACCGGATTTACCTTCTGGTGCATTCCCCTTAATGTTCACTTATATAGTCCTAGTATTGTTCTTGTCTTTAAAAGATGGATTTCTGATTTTTTCTTGCAGAACAACATAACGTGAAAGTCTCAGTTAATGACATTGTCATAAAAGCTGTAGCACTAGCGTTGAGGAATGTTCCTGAAGCAAATGGTAAAGTTCTGAACTGGTTGTGTTTTGGAATTTTTTAGAAGGTTTAGTGATTTAAGATTTATCATTTCGTTCAAATTGATTAATGAGGTTGCTTATAACTTTGAAGTTTAACCTTTTTTTAATTAGATTTTGGCCTAGACGATTCAAATGATTACTTTTTGACTTTATCTATGCAGTCATATTTCTTTTTACCTTGCTATTTCTTTGTAAATGCCCTTGTTGTGCTCAAAACTTTACCAGATTAATTTTCCCTTTCGAAGGAAAAAAAGGAATGCTCAGATAATTTTTTGTTTTTGCAATGCTGTAAAATGTATCTGATTATTATTATACTTGCTCTTTTTATTGCTATCAGATTAAAGGCGTCTATAGCGCATGGAGTTTCTGTTTGTATAGGCTTTGATAGTTTTCAATTTTATTGCTTTATCCTAGTGGCTTAATAGGAGCCCAGTTTAGGCAATTACCTTGTCAACTAATTGATTTGATGCTGTCATTCTCATTTCTTACTACTCTAGGTAGGAAGATCTTTGTTTGAAAAGCTGTGAAGTATTTGTATGGAATAATAGTATGGATTCAGTTGAAAGATTACATTGTGATAATTATGAACTTCCTGTGTGATCAAAAAATGCCAATTGAGCTTTTGTTTTTATCCGATGTATGATCTAATATTTATATGATTCTTAAAGATATATGAAATCATACCTACCCTTAATTTCAATGATTGAAGCAGATGGCTGAATCCAATTTGAGGTTTGAACCATGCTTGTATATTTCAATGGTTATTCTTTTAACTTTGGAAAAAAAGCCAATTCTATGCATAAATGTTACATGTACTAGGATGAACTTATCGCTTTCCAGAGTATGGCAGTCTCTTTTGTTCAACTGTACTTGCGCTATGGCTAATTTTTTCTTGAACCATTGGAACATCCATCAGGCAAGTAGAAAGTTTATCGTTATTCTACTTGTGTGCGAACATTGTAATTTTTGAAATTTTGGAACAATTTGGAGTTTAATAAATTGGTTGTATTCTCTCGTGGAAGACTTGATCCACATTTCAATGAGCTTCTTCCATAAAATACTTGATCCGCATTCCACTATCGGGTGAACATTCATCATGAACAATACAACTTGATTCCCTACTCTTTGATGAACAAAAATAAGAGTACACAGACCTCCTCCGTAAAATTTAAGACATGTTTTCTTAGACCCCTGCTGATATGCTTGAGATTGGCCTTGAGATGATTATGTACTCCCTAAAAGTAGAGCTAACATTTAAATCGGTCATCAGTATAAACAAATTTTGCACCAGAGCTCCTCCAAACAAGCGAATAGAAAGTTAGCAATCTTATAGAAGCATGATTAATACAAGTGCAGCACCATGCTTAGTTGGCAAAAAAGTTAGTGGAGCATGGAGGATGTGTGTTGTTTACACCAACCTTAATAAAGTCTGCCTAAAGGATAATCTTTCTCGCTCTTGTATAGATCAACTTGTTTTGTCACATCAGGGCTCCAAATATTTAGTTTTTAGATGCATACTTCGGTTATAACCAAATAAAGATGAATCCAAAAAATAAGGTCATATCCTTTAAAATAGATAAAAAATTATATTGTTATCAAGTAATGTTGTTTGGGTAGTGCAACCCTCCAACGTCTCTTGAATAGAGCTTTAAAAAATTTCATTAGGTGTACTATATGTCAATAACATGCTGGTAAAAAGCCTACAAACGTCCCAAAATATCATCCATTTTGAAAATAGTTTCAACTTTTTCGACGTTACAGCATAAGCCTCAACCTAGTCAAGAAAGGATGGTTCAACAACCTATCTACTATGTTAGCAAGTTCCCTCATGACATGAAAAATCACTACCCGTTTGCTGGCAAAATTACATTAGTCATAATATTCTCAATGCGAAGGTTGCATTTGTATTTTCAAGCTCACGTTATAAGAGTCTATACACAACTCCCACTAAAAATTATCATACAAAAATTAGAAGTATCATGAAGGTTGATTAAATGTTCAATAAAATTAGGAGAGTTTGACATTCACTACTTATCTCGACCAAATATTAAATCACAAATACTCGTTGAGAGTTTTACATTCACTACCTATCTCGACAAAATATTAAATCACAATTACTAGTTGCCTACCTCTTGCGTTGTTCAAATACTAGTTTACATTCACGTCTCATATATATAGCTTACCTTCTGAGTTGCCCCTACTGAGGGAGGTTCAACATATCAGATATGAGGAGCTTTTGAGCTACTTTTGAAAGTCCATGTGGAGTCATTTGGGTATTAAATTAAGTTCAGAAGTGTACTCATCGATAGATGAGCAGACAGGAGGGATGACTCATAGTGTTCAAAAGCACCTTAAGAGCTTTGCGGGAAAGAACATTTTTCAATGGTATTCGAGTCCTATCAAAGAAGAAGAAGAGGTCTCTCTTGAGGGGTTGCTCATGAGAGCGGCTGAGTTTGCTATAGATCTCATCTTATAGTTGATTTCTCTTCACATACTTGTTTAATTGGAGCACTAGAAGTGGGAGGAGTTTACAGGCTCAAGACTTGGTTTATGAAAATTCTCGTTTATCTATAGTGCCAGCTCAGATTGTGCCAAAAGAGAATGAATACTTATTCTACTAGGATTACTTTGGAATGAGAACGCCTACATGACTTTATAGAGAGAGTACACCATTTTATCTATCTTCAACTGGGCAGCCTATTGCCATACCACGAGAGAAAGAAGCTTCGACGGATGAAGTCAAAGCTCCTCTAATCCCGTGAGACTGATGTGGGAGTGTTGTGTACTAAAGCGCCGTATGCGATCCCGCATGCACGGGCCAGATAAGGAAACCTTCTGCAACCACGCGGGCTATAGATTTCACACCTGGGTTGAATCGGTCCAGGTTTTGTCGCTATTGTGGAGTTTAGATCCACTTCATATTATCATATATTTGTGCTTTTGATGTTCTAGGCTTATTTTTTTCGTTTATTTTGCTCCGGACTACTGCCGGCGTCTCAAATTTTCGTTTGAGGGCCGTATCCAAGAGACGAGGGGTGCTCCAACTTTATATTGTGCCCAAGGTGGTGACTATTCTCCCCTACTCTTCCTCCGCATCCTTCCCTTCGTCGTCGCTGATGCCTTCCCTGCTGTATCAGCCCGGAAACAACCCTCTTGGTTGTTCTCCCTGCAGTTTCCCTGCCTTTCAGAAGCCAACCACCTGCCATACTGGTTGCAACCCTGCTTTAACATCCTAGCTCCTTCTTCCACTTTTTCCCAGCCTTTTGTCTCCCTGCCGCAGTCCTGGAAATTCCTTGCCTTGCTGTCCACTGTTGTTCTAGCCACCTGAACCACATCCCAGCAGCCTAGCTGCTGTTCGAGCTCTTCCCCTGCACTGTCATTGCTGTTCAAGCTTCTCAAAATCATTTCCCATGTCACCTTGCTGCTGTTCCAGCCGCCGGAACCACCTCCTTGCAGCCTAGCTGCTGTTCCCATAGCTTTATGACTTCAGGCATTACCGGATATAGAAAATTACTGATAGATTCAGTAAATCTAAAGGATTTAAAATACGTCAGCTCCTCATGTGCCAATTCTATATTTTGTAAGACATAGTTATGGTCTTAAGAAATTCAGCTTATTAAGCATTTAGAGAGGTATTTGTGCATCACTGAGTTCATTGAGCTTGTTAAGCTTGTAACACCAAGCACATGCTCATTAATTTGCACTTCTTCTTATTTTGTTAGAGGGCGGACTCATCAATTTGCCTCTGTAGCTGGAAACTCACCTGTTTTAGTCATAAAAATAGCCTTTTTATTTGTTATTTCCTGTCCTTAATTAAGGATATCCGGCTTGTGGCATGAACATCTCAAGGAGAACTACAATTTTTTCAATAAGTTGTCAATATCTTATGCTCTCGTCTCAAACATGTTTTAGCACCTCTTTGTTGGCACTTATGTTGCATAGTCTTACAAATAGTTATTTATTTTATTAATATTGTTGTTGTTTCAATTAAAACTGTAATTGCTGGGTCCCAAGCCTCAGATGTGAAAAGTGAAGGGCTGTGTTAGATAGTCAACAACCAATGTAAAATTTATCAAAAAGTATGACATGATTTTTTTAGATTCTTGTGTAAATGCTAGGGCAACCCCTGGAAGCGACGTGCTGTATAACCTGAATACAATGAAAATTTTGCAAGGGCTGCTATGCCGACGCCCGTGTGTAGCATCAAATAAACGCGTGTTCCCACATTACGGACGAATGCATGTAAAGAAGTTAGTTCGTGAAACTAATATTAGAATATAATCTTGGAATATAGATACTCTCATTGTTAAATTAATGGATTTAGTTGATATTATGGTTCATAGGAAGATAATTATCTTATATATTCAAGAAACTAAATAAGTTGGAGAAAAGGCTAAGGCGATTGATAGTATAGGTTTTGAACTTTTGTATTTAGGTAGTAGTCACACTAGAAGTCTAATTGTAGATAAGCGTTTGAAAGATAATGTTGAAAAGGGACAATTTAGTTGCTTGAGATTAAAATGTATTTCAGTTTATGATGATTTTCATTCATTCTATTTGTGAAACAAAGAAACATTATATTTGATTGGTTTTTTGAGTTTAAACCAATGCCGGTTTCTCATTATATCCAGTTAAATTATGGAGTCTGCCAATTTCATCATTTATGAAAATATTTTGGAAGATTTACATACACACGACACAATTGTTATGTATTTGCATATCTAACACAAACTATGATTTTACATTTATGTCATTTACCTGTGCTAAAAAGGTGTGCTTCACTTTTGCACTGTTAGTAATAGTGGTATTTTGATGTAATGTGAAAGATTGTGTTATCAGTGTTAAAATTGAACTTTAAGTGTTTAATACATAAATACATTACAATTGTGTTGTATGTATGTAAATGCCCCAAACATTTTTTTGTATCTAAAACCGGTCAAATTGCTTTGAATATTAGTTAACTTTTGACGTGGTCTACATATAATTCTGTGGTACAACCACATCACATCACATTGATGCAACTTAGCAGCCCTCAGCCATGCATACGAGACATATGGATTTTCCACAAGGAATGCTTATCTTGCCTTTGCATATGAGACACATCTGATATGGTTTATGCCGATTAGTTAACTAAAATAATGATGGCTGACTTTGGAAATTTTTGAGTTCATCCTTTGTTGGGCGTGATCATTTATGCTACGTTTTTCTACAATATTTTTTTGGAAGGTTTACCTATATACCACTCAACTCTCATGTATTTACATTTCTAAAGCCTGAACTTCAATTTTTACATAACTCCACCTTCCATATGCATGAAAAGGTATATTTTACTTTTAAAAGTTAAAGTGGTGATATTTTTTATGTGATATCAAAGATTTGAGTGTAATAAATGTAAAATTTAAGTTTAGGTGTTAGATATGTAAATACTTAAGAATAAGGTGGTATGTATGTAAAGGCCCTTTTTTTATTTTACATTGTGATATTGCATCTATCAATGCCTGTCTATCCTTTAGCTGAATGACGTAGTATATCCTTTTTGATTAACATTTTGGGCATTGTTTTTTCTATCTGGCAGCTTATTGGAGCGATGAGAAGGGTGAGGCCATCATATCCAGCTCCATTGACATATCAATTGCGGTGGCTACAGAGAAGGTATTTTTTTTCCCGAACTTACCTGAAAATTTGTTATGCTGTACCCCTGATAGACTTTCTGAGATGCAGGGCTTAATGACGCCAATTATAAGGAATGCAGACGAGAAGACATTATCAACCATATCCTCAGAGGTATGTTAAAAAGCATTCTGTAAACTGCTATGTAGTCTGAAGCAATTGTTTTCTCTATAACACAGACGATTATACTGGCAATCCGCAGAATTTTAACAAAATGGAATATTTACATACATACCACATAATTCCTATGAATTACATATCTAACACCTGAACTTCAATTTTTACATACATGCCACCTTGCCTATGCATGAAAAGGTGTATTTCACTTTTAAAAGTGGTATTTTTGATTTGATAGGAAAGATTTGGTGGTTTTATTGTAAAAATCAAATTTTAGGTGTTTGACATGTAAATACGTTGGAATTGGGTGGTATGTATTTAAATGACCTTAAAAAATTGGTTACAATGCACAGCTGTAGTTTGAATTACTGTATACATCTTTCATTGATATTTTCTAGGATCCACATGGAATACCTTTTGAGATTAAGTATGGGGATACTGCAATTGTTTTGGTTAATATATCTTTTGATTGATTTTTGTAGATTAAGATGATATAAAATTATTGGATAAGTATTTTTGATACTATATTTTAGAACAAAGAAGATATTCATGATCATGCTAATTATAATATAATCAAACTTCTATCTGATACAATGAAACTATGGGAGAGTGATGAGTAGCAGGATGCTTCTTTAGGATTATTTAGAATCATTTTGATGTTATTTTATTATAATTAATTGGAAATATAACGTTAATGTTGAGGAGTTGATCTCTCATGTTCATTCTTTATATGTTTTGTTCATAGTTATCCGTTTTTAGTTTATTTGACTACCATTATAAAGAAAACATCCTTTAGGATGCATTGCATTATTGATTATAAATTGAATTACAGCGCTCTCCTTTATTTTCTCCCCTCCTCCAAGGCTTTTCTGTGTCCTCAAATTAGGACTTCTTTTTTTAAAATTGCTTCAATCCCTCCTCTTACTGCTCTTTCCCATACCCTCACCTTTTTTTCTCTCTCCTAATTATTGACTCAAGGCATACAAAACATATTAAACAACCCATTCTATCCTTGTATGCATTACAATTGGCCACTCTCTTCAGTCAAAATCTCTTCAGAAATTAAACTTATTTCTCTACTGGCAATATGCTGGAAGGAAAAAGGAATCCACGCATCTGTATGAGAATATTTAGACTTAAATCAAGAAACATTGAAACCTTAATTAGGGTTTTGAAATCAAAGCTCCATCAAATTTTGATATCAGAGCCACCATCTTTTATTTTAATTTCTGTTAGAGCTAAACAATCCTACTTTATAACTAGATGATTCATACCTTAAGAAGGATTGCATTGTATTTTTTTCATGCAAAGAAAATTTTTTTATAATATGATGGTTCCCTTCTCTACCTCCTCTTCATGATTCCACTCTTCTATTTGGTTATATTGAAATTTATTCCATACTAAATTAGACAGCCTAATACACTTTTACCCTATTCAAGAATTTGGTTTTATCTCTGTGATTTTTTTGTCATAACTGCTTTTGTTGTTGTTGTTGTTGTTTTTGCTGTTTGCTCATTAGTGATCGTTTAGGCATATGCTAGTTAGATTTGCTAGTAATGATCTTGAAAGTTGTTAATGACTTGGGATAAAATCTTATATCAAATAATTTTTTTGATAGCCAACTTTTAAAAAGATAAATAGAAGGAAAATAAAATGAAACTTTGAATACAACAACAACAACAACAAAGCCTTAATCCCCCTATGTGGGATCGGCTACATGAATCATTTTCTCCATTGCGTCCTATTTAGTGTCATATTTTCATTTAGTTCTAATAAAATAAGATCATTTTTCATACAACAAGCCCAAGCCTTCCTAGGTCTACCTCTACCTTTCTTAACATAAGTCGAATCTAAAACATTTACTCTCTTAATCAGATCATCATATGGTTGACGTTTAATATGATCAAATCATCTAAAATGAAACTTTGAATAGAAAAAAAAAGAAAAAAATCCTATACCTCTTAACTTTGAAACAGCTATGAAAAAAAGGAAAACAAAATGAAACTTTAACTTGAAACAAAAAAGGAAAAATTCCATACCAACCCAAACTGTTTTACTCAAGATTTATTCTTATTATAAATTAAGCTCGCTTCGTAGGCTAGCCATTCATGTTGACATTTATAAGAAATTATGAAATTTTATGATAAAATTTCACTGCCTACTCAAAGGACCCAGTATAACCTTACATAAAAGAACTGCTCAACAACTTGGATTTAAGCAAGGGTTGGTTTTAAAACTGGAACAAGTGAGGGCGAGGATGTATACATTTCATTTATAGATACGCCTATTATGAACTTTGGAGGCTCAAAAGTACTTCTACATGATATTAGATACTCAATATTTGAAGTCGGATTAATATTTATGTTTGTAGGAAAATCAATAACATATGAATTTGGCTATGTTTTCTAAGAATTTTGAAGGAGTTGCAAGAGACTTGACCATGAAGTTTTGTAAATGTGCTGCGCCAGATGCATGCAAGGCAAATACAAACTACATATAATTACCTTAACTTTATTCTGGAGATGCCTATGAGCATTGGCCATAGTTTTATACTTTTCACTTTGTACATCAATTCCTTGCATAAGCATCAAATTGCAGTTTATGCGCACACTCACTTAATGATGCATCATAATCATAATATGCATGCATGAATAATGATATTAGATTTATAGGTTTCCTAAATTGTGTTAACTTGGAATCTATAGGCCTTCCATGTTTTTACATAAGTGTGCAATGTAACAACATTCCCCATTCAAGAAGTTTGAAAGTTACTTCAGTTTTAATGACATCTTTTCTAAGTTCAGACCAATGGAATAATACTTGACCAGGAAATTGTCTTATCACGTCTTACATGATCTGCTAATCCTCCAACATGAAAAGCACGCAAGCAATAAATTTTTGCTGGGAATAAAAATTCATAATTTGCTCTTTCAAGAGTAATTCACCACATATTTAATCTGAAGTTAATAAAATTTTATTTTCTTTTAGATAATGATAGGCGATGAAAGCCAGGACATGCTGGATACTAATCATTTATTTTCCTAAAACCAAATACTTTCACAATCATAGTACTTTGTATGATAAAAAATTTAACTTGTTGCATCAACAACTTTATTCTTGGCTCTAGTATGTTTAAGAATAAAAGAATATTTTTACACAAAGGCACATTTTTCACAGTAGATATTTAACATTTTTTGGGATTGGAAGTACAGTAGTGCTTGATGGTAAGAATATAGGATAAATTCTTGGTGAGAAGGTAAATGATACTAATGTCGTAAGGCTTATATCACACCATAAAGCTCTTTTTTATAATTAATTTTTTTTCTACTTTCATTTAGGGTCGATTTGGGGCAGCTGCAACTTATCCAACTTCTACTGTTAATCTGCTGATGAGCAGCTGATCCGAATAAGCTGGCTTGTTGTTTGGTTTGCGCGTTTGAAAAACAACTTATTCTGGATAAATGACCACTCTGCCTCTGTTTTGGATAAACTGTTTAGTTGTTTGGTTTGTGCATTTCGTAAACAACTTATTCTCTGATTTTTTTAGTTGAATGAATAATCTGTCACGCATAGTTTGTTATTTTCTCAAATTTCAAGACATGAAAATGCAAAAGAGTTGAATTACATTTATATAACTCAAAAAATTCTGATTACATTAAATAAGCACAGTGACATATACGAAAGTGAAGTACACATTCACACACTAATATGAATTATAATGAGACCAAAAAAAAAAGAAAAAATAACATGTCACTCGTTAGCCACCAAACACCTCCAGATTCACCGCTAAGATCACATGAATCGTTCAAAATCAAGAAGCGTTTCGGCGAAATGGAGGCGAGGAGGGAGGAGCAGAGCAGGGGGAAGAGAATCCTTACCTGCGGAGCGACTTCAGGGGAGGATCGACACCAAGAGTTTAAAGAAGGTTAGGGATCAGACTTTTTGCGAGGGTAGCTCCGTAAATGCTTTGAGCCCGAATGCTGATCCCGGGGATATACCCGCGGTCCGCATGTAATACAAAATAGAGAACACCATTTTCTGAAACGCTACTGAAATGCTAGAAACAAACATTAAGGCGGCGTTTTCAAAATGCCACCGCACTTTTAAGCTACGCCAAACGGGTCCTTAGCTCTCACTGAAGTACATGATTGGATGATTTTTCTAACTTAATGCATCACCAATCCCTAAAAACATAATCATGATACACGAAAGACTATTATAAAATCACAAAGCTTATGCATGATGGTACCATCAACCTAGCTTTAAAAGGTTAAATGCTTTAGTAGCACTTGTATTCTATTTGAATTTGCCCTCTTCCATTGAAGATTTTATAATGGACATGTAGCCTTTCATAAAACGAGTTTAGAAGGTGGGCAATCTATTGAAACTTTGGAATTAGAAATGGATTTCCGGAGAGCAATAGCCTTAACTTTTCATGGATCAACTTCTAATGATCATTTGGAGGAAACCTAAAACTAAGAAGTGCAACTGGCTTTCAAAAAAGTGTCCCCAAAAAAGATATGTTTGCGATGTCTCTTGTGCGCTAAATTGTGCATCATCAAGATAAATGGCTAAAATCTTACAAATAAATGGGCGGAGAACTTGATACATAATTCTCCTTATAAGTATGGAATGTGACCAAATAGCATCACTGCCCATTCGCACTAGCTATAAAATGTCTGAAAAACAATCTTTTACTCATCCTTATGATAATCAAATTCACTGGTACTCAATACCCACTTATATGATCAATCTTTTAGAAGAATATCATCCAAATGATAAAGTAGGAATCTATTTCTAATTATAATTTTGATGATGGCTCTGCTATAGATGCACATTCTACATAGTCATTTTTTTAACGTAGAAACTCAAACGTTGATGCCTAAACCTTTTTGGTAGAAGACCATCAACCTGATTTATAAGGTTCATTTTATAGTGGAGATTATTTAATAGCTGTGATTCTATAATAGATCATGTTGGCCTTCATATGTACCTCATAACACAATTCAATCAAGCATAATAAAGGTGGCAGACGAAAAACATGAATTTACATAATTTATTTGGGAATAACATGAGTGTGATCAAAATCATCTAACTATCGTTTGTTTCTAATTGGTCATTGGTGCTATTAGTCGTTGTGGAGTGGCTAAGGAGCTTCTAGTTACATTTGGATTACCTCGAAGATTATCATTAAGTTCATTTTCATTTGTATTCATTATAATGTATACAAATTTTCTATGATAGAGCGCTTAGATTTAGCCTACTGAATGCAAATTATATGATATCCAATTTTAATGGCATGTTTTTAACAATTATTAGTTAAATTTACTAGTTGATAAAAATACTTTACTGTGATAGGTTTCAATATTTTGGGTGTATTATGTCAAATAAGAAGTATATAGGTGTAAATAACATCTAAAGGTAATGCTAGACAGGTTAAATGAAGGAAGGTTTATCTTGCTTATGATGTTAAGGCAAATTTTATAAAGCACAATTATTTGGTTTATGCTATATAGATCTAAGTATTAAACTCTAAAAAAAATGTCAAGAATAAAATATGATAAAAATGAGAATGCTAGGATCACAATGAAATTAGAAATTCTCAAATTATTGAAGCAACATCTATGAAGGTTTTGAAAGTTGAAAATAGACTTGAAAGGTTTGGGCATTTATCAAAGGCTAGAAAACACCCATCATATATGTTTTTTTTTTAATTGCATTTTTTGCATGATTTAAATATAATATTACATAAATTTGCATCCAACATGTATGTTGACAAAATAAATGTTGGGGAATTTTGGTGTCAAGGGAATAAGACCTGAGGTGTGATGCCGATATAAATCGTTCAAAATGAATTGCAAAGAATAATTGTTGGTGAGTACTTAATTATGGTGTTTACCTACAGGTTAAAGAATTGGCTGAGAAGGCACGTAATGGAAAACTTAAACCTGAGCAGTTTCAAGGTGGGACTTTCAGGTGCGTACGCCACACATCAATTTCTCTAGTGATCTTTCTCTGTTATTTTTTGAATAATTGTATATGCTCATCCCTTTTGTTCGTAAAAGCAGCATATCAAATCTGGGAATGTTTCCTGTAGACCACTTTTGCGCGATTATAAATCCTCCACAGGTTTCTCTCTCTCTCTCTCTCTCTCTCTCTGCCCCTCCAATTTTGGAATGTTCCTCATAACTAATTATATTTACTGATATGTTTCTATAGGCATGCATTCTTGCTGTTGGTCGAGGTTTTCAGGTTGTTGAGCCTGTCAGTGGCAGTGATGGTATGCACTACTGTTGATTGTATGTACCATGTCTTGTTTCATACCTTATTTAAAAAGGCTTTTGAGGCTTATGCCTCAAGGTGCGCCTCAGGTTCTTCAAACTGGGGCACAAAAAGCCTCGAGGCTTAAGTCTCACCGTTGCCAGTGAGATTTGTGCCTTTTTCATCCGAGGCATACACCTCAAGGCATGAGGCAATGCAATCATGTTATGCATTAAAATATATTATATTATGTTGTTAATCTATGTCATCTTATATTATATTTAATATATTGATACAATGCTTCGGAAACGACAAGAGATAATTTAAGTAGGATTATTAGATTATATTATTAATTTATTTTTTTATTTAAAACTATATTGAATATTAGATTTATTTATTTTAGAAGAAAATTGTAATGAAGAAAATTTTCAAGTTGTAGATGAGACATAATTAGATGATAATAAAATAATGATAATTCTTTTGAAGATGTTGAAAGGATGAGGCTACTATGGATTTTAAATCTCATGGAATATGTAAATTTTAACTGAATGTTTATGTAGGATTACATCTCAAATTTTATTTTATATCAATATTTAAGATTAAGCTTTGTGATTTATTTTTATGATAATAAATTAAATCATCATATTAATGATTTATATATTTTTGTAAATTTTTTTTAAAATTTTATGAGTTCTTTAGACTTGTGCATCGATCCACCTCTGAGACTACTGAAAGTTTTGTAGGCTTCTGATGAGTACATATTTTATCTTACATTGCAGGAATAGAGAAGCCTGGAGTGGTGACAAAGATGAGCTTAAAACTGTCGGCTGATCATCGTGTCATTGACGATGTGGTCGGAGGTAATTTTCGATTTTCTAGTTTTCTTTTTTTTGTTTAATATTAATTATACAACTATTTATTCTTGTTTATTTGCAGGCAAGTTTCTTGGAGCGTTGTCATCCAACTTCAGGGACTTGAGAAGGCTGTTATTATAAGCAGCAATCTGAGGTGCAGATTGGACCAACTATGCAGTCTATATTAATTTCAAATACATGCATAATGTCAGAATGATAGCTCTCGCCTTTTTATGCCGGGATTTTGTAGCTGCATCATATGAAACTCGTTTTTTTTTTTCTTATTTATGTTGGATACATTTACATTTTTTTCTTCATGGTTGTTTGGTGTATTATTCACCCCAAGCTTCTCAATTTTGCACAATTTGCTTTATATTTTCTGAATAATGTCTTTACCTTGTCTGCTCTACTTAGACGGCCATGGAAGAACTGCAGAACATCTTGTATTATTTTTCCATATACATAAATATGTTTAGAATGTTCCAAACATTTGTGGAATGTTGGAGGATTCAAGGAATTCAAACATTGTTCAAGTTATAATTTCTGAAATTGTTTTCAGTGTGATTAGTAAATTGGGATTGTTAAGGCTGTGGGGTGATGGGCAATATTTATAATGGTACAATGTTTAGCACGTTTGTTAATCAGCTTTGATCTTTGAAAAGGGTAATGTATATTTGGAATTATAATCATGTCTGATTGTTTAAGTTTTCTGTGGGGATATATACATTATTTATTTCTAAATAAATAAGAAGCTATTAAATTTAGAGTGCGTTCGGGGCAGCGGATAAGCTGCTTATCCTGAACTGCGGTGGGGTTCGACCCGTAGCCTACGTTTAGTGTAAAAACCTAAACATGGTTTTGGATAAGTTGGCGAAACAAGCGAATCAATTGATACAGTGGCGTTTTGAAAATGCCGCTCGCAGTTATAAGTTGCCCAAACGGGCCCTTGTTCTCCTGAAATTTTAAGTATAATATTTTAAACTAGACATAATTACATTAAAACATATTTTAATGTATTTGATTACAATATAATATATGTTTTAAAATAATTTTGACATTAAATTAAAAAAAAAAAAGTGCAAAAGGCAATTGAAGGCATCAAGTAGTGGAAAAATCTTGAGGGCTAGCGTGATGCTGTCTTCTAATGGTAAAAATTAGAAAACTGTTTTTATTGACTAGTTTTTTAGAGAAATTTGCTCAGAAGCTCTCTACGGATCAAACTAATATTATTTTTAATTGAAGTGTTAACTATAATTGAACACAATTATATCAGTTCTAATGAAATTTGAATAAGGTTCAAATAAGATTAATTAAGAGAGATATATTTTGTTTGAACTTGTTTGGAGATAAGAAAAATGCTATTAAAAAAGGATAAGGACCATATTAAAATATCGATCAAATAAATAGCATTTGAATGTCATTTAACAGCAATTGATTCCTAAATAACAATTATATGAATGATTAATTTATACAGCACAAACATAATAGTTATAACACCATAGATTATAAGATAAAGATAATATAATAATTAAAAAAATATGATATAGGGAAAAGCTACCAAAATCATTATGACACGATAATTTATAAGGAAATAAGCATAATATTAAATTTAGGTTATAACACATCATATTGATAAGCATTATCTCATGATTTGATTAGAGTCCAAGTGAGCCTAGATCATGTACTTACAATATAGTAAGAAGCTTTTGAGATATAGTTTAGGAGACCAAATGATCTCCAAATATAAGAAATTTATAGTCAAATTGAGTGTCTTAACAAGATGAATCTAACAAACTTAAGATCCCTTAATTTTTTGCATCATTAAGACACATAAATATACATAAAACACCATTTGATCAAAGGGATCAATCTAGGACGTACAGTGGAGTAGTTCAGATTCATTCATTATTTACAGAGTATGTCACTAATAAAATCTATAAATAAACCCTCACTCTTTTAATGAACTAGATCTGAAGAAAAAGGTTGAAGGTGCTTCAAGCTCTTGTGAGTTCTCGAGCTCCACCATCGCCTTCAAGTTAATGCCATCGTCGGGACACTGTTGCCCTGCCACCATTGTCAACGTCGTTAGACCACCGCCAGACTAACGTTGTCAAGCCACCATCATCATCACCAGATCACCACCTTCTGGCCACCGTCACCGTCGGACTACCACTACCTGAATGCTACCATCTTCACCACTGAACCACCATTGTCTGCCCACCGCCATCTTCGGACCCTTGTTACCCTCCCATCATTATCAACATCACTGGACCACCGCTCTATAGGCACTATAATCATCATCACTGAACCATGGTCATTTGGCCAACATCATCGTCAGACCACCATCGCCTAGCCACCACCACTATCAATGCTGATTCACCTTTGTCTGGCCACCGCCATCACCTAACCACCATTGATCTACCACCACCATCATCATCATAGGACCACCATTGCCATTGTCAGACCAATACGGGTTGGCCAGTACCGTCTCCACTGTCGGACCACCATCATCTAGTTATTGTCAATGTCAGACCATCGTTGCCCAACCGCCGTTGTTGCCATCGGCAGATCACCGTTACTGTTGTCAGACCATCTCCGTTAGGTCACCGCCACTACAGGACTTCTACAACCCAACCAGCACAGTCATCACGACCAAAACGCCGCCGTTGGGCTATTATTATCGAGGATGCTGACATCATATTTTTTAATACACAATTTCGTCCGACAGTCTTCCTTGACAGCAGCCGGGTTGCTACCACTTTCTCATTGTATTCCACCACTCCTCTAGAGGAAGTCATGACAGTAAACCCCACTTGTGTAATATTTCTTACAATTATTTAAGATTTGGTAAAGTCTTATAACCTACATCGGCATTATGGAATTATTTCAACTGGACTAGGTCTCTTGTTATTTATCTTTTTTGTTTTTTAATGTAAAAACACTTGTTATTCCCTCTGCTAGTTTTTTCTTTTATACGTGTATGTGTCAGATCTTTAGATCTTTGTATAACACTAAGCTAGTTATTAATCACTATTCCACCACGAATTTATGAGCATGCAACAATATATATATATAGAGAGAGAGAGAGAGAGAGAGAGAGAGAGAGAGAGAGAGAGAGAGAGAGAGAGAGAGAGAGAGAGAGAGAGAGAGAGAGAGAGAGAGAGAGAGAGAGAGATAAATCAAAATACCCCAAATTGATTGAATTTTAGAGGCCAATGGCTTGCAAAATTTTTGTAGAAATAAAATAGCTTCCCATAAACATGCAAAATTTAACCTCAATATGTAAAAATTAGAAACTTATGACTGTTTACTAATTGTTTGTGAAATATGCCCGAAAGCTTATTTTAGACCAAATTTTGAAATTGAAGGGGTTGATTAAGAAAATATATAAGCAAATTTATGGACAAGAAGCTGCTTAATACTTCTTTTCATTGCACCTTTCTCATCATCACTAACAATCTTCTTTCTTGTGTAATTAGCTGACAATAAATTTCTAATGAAAAGTCTTCATCTCCCTCTGTAATTAACTACTCATCATTAGTGATGTTATATGTTTGCTTGCTAGCTTTGAAAGAATCTTCCTCGCACTAAACTCATTCCAACTTAAATTGAATCTTGTTTGAACTCTCAGTCCTAAACCTAGTAAAATATTAGAATTTATATTATTCCAAGCAAACACTTAATCAAACTTGATTAAATCTTGTTCAAAGCTTGTTTGAAATAGATAAATTGTTTTTCCAAATATTGATCAAACTTTATTCAACTCTGGTTAAAATTATATATATCTTTTGAATAATGATAATAAGATTCCATAAAGGTTCAAATCTTGTTTCAACAAGTTTTGATGAATGTTTAATCAAGGTGAGAATAGTATTCAATCTAATGCCAAAATAATTGCATGAAAATGATTTTATTTTGAAAATTTCCTTTTCATGGAATTACCATATTTAATTTAATAATATTATTGTTATTAATTAAAGTTTTTCTTGTTGTGGGTTAACATTATTAATGCATGTAAGGACTTATTATGATAAATAATTATTATAATATATCATTTTGTAAGTAATAATTTTCTTCATCATGTTATGTAGGATTTACATTTTTTAATTGTTTGGAGAATTATTTATACAAAGACTTAGGTTATATGAACTAATCAATTTAATGTAATAATTTATAATGTCAAATTATTACATCAATTTTTTGGGGCTAGATAACATGAGCAAATAAAGAAAACATCAAACACATGCAACATAATTCAAAAGAGGAATTTTTAAGGCACCCATTTATGAAAATTGAAGTACTCAACCATGCATAAAGACTCACAAGAAACTCTACCAAATGGTATGCAATCAAGTTAGAAATAAAGAATTAATTTCATAAAAAAAAAAAAATGAAATGTTAAAAATTTAGAAACCAAGTGCTTAAGAAAGTCATATTTTGGCTAAACAAGATTAGAAGGAAATTGAATAGATGATATCACCCTCAATTTTTATATATTGTGTTATGGATATTGTGTCATCTCTTACATTACACTATTGTGTTAGCTCTTGAGTTACATTGTTATTTTATTACTATTTACTAAACCTCTTGAATGTTGAATTAGAGTGTAGGTAATTACTAATTTGCTTTATGAAGCTTTGAGTCTGAATTTGACTTGAAAAATAATCAAATGAATTGTGAATCTTGTTAAGGTTATTTTACCCGAGTTTTTAAGAAAGAAAACACAGATAAATTTTCGGTTCGACTCGATCGATTCATTGCTATTGAAACATCGTAAAATTTCAACTTAGACTAATAAATATATTTTGAGTTAGTCAAATCTGACATCATTATTTAAATAGCCCAATTATTTTGCTTGGATTATCTTTAATTTCTAAATAATGACAAATTGATAATTTTGTAAATTACATAATATATTTTACCATATCACATCTCACTGCAGCAATATAATTTTGAAACAATGTTAAAGGGATCCAGTCACCCTTGCTACATAACTAATCATTTTATAAAGAATAATCATTTTTTACATCACCATAACTATTAAATATGTCAAGCAACATAATCTATTAATTTATTTGAATGACCCAGCTTTTTTTTCAATCTTATCCCACCATCTAAATTGGAAATTTTACATCCGCCGGATGTCCGAACAACGACCTGGATGCAGCGAGGAGGGCGAATGTCCAATTCCTCCCCTCCTCTGCTGCATCCGGATTGTTGTCCGGACATCCGGAGTTCGGATGTAAATTTTTTTTCCCATCTAAAAGTCTAAACACGGCATAAAATATTGCATAAGGACTCCGTACGTATAGTTACGTGCGAAGTCCAATGAAATAACCTCACGTGACGGTGACAAGAAAAAAATATGCCCGATAACATAAGGAAATATTCCTCTCGTGTTATTCAGGTATTATTGTGTTATTCAGGTGTTATTGTGTGTTATTCAAGTGTTACTGATGTGTTATTGTGTTATTATAACATCGAAAATATTCCCATAACACCCTAACACCTGAATAACACGAAATAACACCGGAGGAATATTCCCCTATATTACCGGGCTGATTTTTTTTCTGTCACATTCAC